TTTTTTTTTCTTCATCCTCCACGCAACATTCACTCTGGCGCCCATCTCGGCTAACCGATTCTCCACTTTTTTCCCCTTCATCACCCCCTCTCGGGGTCACAGCGGAGGTGCCGATCGTGGGAGAACGTTCTGTCCATGCTCCTCGCAATGCGGTATGTCCGTCGGATACTTTTTTAGTGCCTCCCAAAAAACCCCGAGCCGATACCAGATCCTGCCCTCTCACTCGGCGCTAAGAGCCGTAGCCGTGTCAACAGAGCGAATCGCAGCCCGCTATAGTCACCGGCACACCCGAGTCGATCACAGGCATGAGAAAAGGACAGACGCTGGTAAACAGACGTCCCGGCAATGCCGGAACGCGCTCCTGCACGTCTGGCTGCATCTGTGCAGCTGAGCGAAACTTCCCTCGCGGACCACGCAGTCCCCCACCCCAACAATCCAGGCACAGAGCCGTGGCTTGCCGCAACAGATGCGCGGTAGGATCGCACTTGAACATTGCAAGAGGCCCGAGACACGACGGAGGCAAGGCAAGCTGCTGGTGCTCTGGTCGTGGAAGGGTTCGCCGGTGTGAAGAGCCCGCCTGCATAGCGCGCGGGGATGCCACAAAAAGCCGCTTCTGTATCCGGCCCGAGGATGGCGACGCGCTGGAGCTGCCGAAATTGCATCCCCGCACCCGCGGCACGGAACTTTTGCTCCCACTAGCGCGTCATTCCTCAAAGTCGGAGTCAAATCTGTCGGCCTACGCTCTTTCGCCTGCAGCACGCCTCTCGACAACGCAGCGGCCTCAAACGGCCTTAACGGCACCGCCGCCAAGCTCTACACCTCCTCATCGATTTTGCCTGCGAAGCCTGTGGACGGCGAGTGGGGCTCCATACTTTCTATCTTGGCCGACAATGGTGGCGCGAGCAAACATGTGCATAGCCGAGGCCGGCGCTAAGGCCAAGAATCGGCCAGTCAGCCAATCGCCTCCACTTCCTCTTGGCCCATTGACGCAACGCCAAGGCAGCATGACGGAGGACAAGATGCTTGTGTTCCCCTCCACTGGCTCCAGCTCTACGTTTCCCCGGATCGGCGTCCAAGTTCCCCACCGTCCGGCTCTCGGCTCGCTTATCGTCCCCTTGTCCCCTCGCGATCGCTCACTGTGTTCTACTCAGACGGCGATCGTCTTCCTTCGGCTTGATGCTGCTCTCATCTCGGCGACTTCGCTTACAGTATGATCCCATTCGGCTCAACCCGATCCAAGCTCTGATCACCGATCAGCGGCCCGCTCTTGCCCTCATCTCAACCCACGCATCCAATCGTCGTCGTCGTCTTCGTCGTCGTTCCTGGTCACTCGTCCTTGCCCACATTGCGTTGAAAACAGCTTGCACATGAACACTAGAAATGCAGCGATAGTAGCCATAAACATCGAATGAAGACCGAGCGCAATCACTTATCCCACGCCACCCGTCCACCACCAAAGATGTAGGGGTAGCAGGTCTGGTAGTAGTTGACAAACGTCTTCCTCCCCGCAATCGAAGGCGCCGTCGCATAGCTGCCACCCAGCACCACGCTGTGCTTGCCATCGAAAAAGTCAGAGCTGTAGCCTGGATACAGCGTCGACGACTGGAATCCCACGTACTCGGCAAACAGCGTGCTGGTCCACTCCCACACACCGCCGTTGTGGCCCGGCAGCAGCGTGCCGTCCGAGTCGTAGCGCGGCAGCGTCGCTGGCACCGGGTGCCAGTTGCGGAAGCCTACGTTGGCACTCGGCGCCGCCTGACCCTGCGTCGGATTCTGCGACCCGCGCCTCTTGCCACCCGCCGTCGCAGTTTCGCCGTTGCCTGCTGCCGTGCCAGGTCCGTGCATCGAGATGCCTGGCGGGTGAATCTCGGTCTTGAGCACCCGGCGTGACTTGTTCTGAGGCTTGGGCGCGTTCGTGTTCTCCGTCACGTAAAAGCGACGCAGCATCATGATCGCCTCGTCGCGCAGATATCCGCCCACGGATTCGTACCCAGGCGAGCTCACAATGGCGTCGTCGTCGTGCAGTCCCAGCACGCTGCCGTTGCCACCGAAGCGCTCGTTGCCCGCACCAAACACAACGCGCCCGATCCCGACTTGTCGCAGCGCAGCGCCGCACATGATGCACGGTTCGATCGTCACGTAGAGCGTCGTGTCCTTGAATGGATTGTCGCCTTCGGGTCCCGAATGAGGAGCCACGGCAAAGTCGGTCGCAGACGGCGGCATGATCGATAGGATGTGGTCAATCGCCTCCAGCTCAGCATGTCGGGTGGCGTTGAGCAGCTCGTTTGTGCGGTTGCGACCGCGTGCAATCACCTCTCCCTTGCGCACAAACACGCCACCGACCGGAACTTCGTTGGCATCCAGTGCCTCTTGAGCCATGGCCAGCGCCTCGCGCATCCCTTTGAGATCCTCCTCCGACTGCTCTTCGCGCGGCACGTACCGCACCGCCGAGCCACGCACGGGAGCGGGCTGCTTGCCTGGTGGATCAATGTCGTTGACCTCGGCTTGTTCTTCAGTCGAGTCTCGATGGAACGGTGGCACGGTCAAATCGAGGACTAGCGCCTCGGGTGGTGCATCCATCAGCTTGCGAAGCTCCGCGTGCGTTGGCAGTCGACCGCCTTTCCAGCTCGCGTAGGCCGACAGCTGCGTGCCCGACGCCTGTACAGGCCAGTGCTTGGCTACCGACATGTCAACAGGACCGTAGAAGGTGCGAACGAGATAGTCTTTGCTGCCCTCGCCTTTCATCCACGAGGCCGGAGCATCGTTGCTCTTGGTATCTTGGATAAATTCGAGATACTGAGCGTTGGAGATGGGCAGCGCCGAGATCGAGAACGCCTTGGCGTCCACCTTGCGGCGAGGATGCTCGTTATCCCACCCAAATTCGGGCTGGCCGAGCTGAGCGTTCAGCTCGCTCACGTCGCATGACGCCTGCCGGGCAATAAAATCGAAATCCTTGGTGTCATCGTCGTCATGGCCGAGCTCGACCGAGGATGCCTCAAAGTGGAAGCGCTGTTCCAGCGACTTGGCCCCGCCACGCTGGTCGTACTGGACAGCCCATCGCTGTGAAAGCGATCGCCAGTCCGGCATCATGAAGCCTGCAGGCGGTCGAGTGTTGGGCGACTGGATGAGCATGTACAGCAGCGTTTCCAGGTGCAGGTTGATGTGTTCCAACGTCATCCAAAGCATCCTCGCGAGCCGGCGGTTCAGCACCAGATCGCCGTGACCAATGTCTTCGTAGATTCGCTCCACCCTGCTTTGCACCGTCTGCTGGTATTCGAGGATCTCCTCCAGCGCAGGCCAGTCATCAGCGTTGGTTGGCACCTCGCTGTGCGGATTGCACTTGGTGGTGTCATCCATGTGAGGGTCGATGCCGCGTTCAAAGATGGCCGAAAAGCGATCGTTGGTGTGGGGCTGTTTGAGGTACGTCGAGATATGGATGTCAACAAACGCCGGAATGTGGCCAAGATAGAAGAGGCAGATGTGACGAAGGTCGATGGGCTTCTCGTGCAGCTTGTCCTGGGGGATCATGGTCAAGGTGACGCAGTTCCAGGCGTCCCAGATGGTCTTCCAGTCCGCGAGACTGGGCAGGCCAGCCGCAGGAGCCTTCTGCGCCATTTCGTCTAGATTGCTGCCTCCCCAACCATCGTCGATGATCGTTCCTGCGACAGTGCTGTCCGGATGACTCTGTTGCTGCTGC